CCCCCCTCCTTCCCCTTGCGAGTCACGCGGAGGCGGCGCGACAAGAGGCGGACACAGAGGAGAGGAGGTACGCAACGAAGTCCAGTCCGCTCCGTTACGCAACGAACGCTTTGCGCGGCGCCGTCTCTTCTTCTAGTTATATGTACACTGTACCGGATCCAGGCGTGAGCAGGGCGGGGTTGCATACGGGGCGGTAAGGTGCCGTGGCGGGCGACGGTAGGCTAGACCGTTCTAGATCCGGTACAATGGGACCAGAAAATGCTGTGCAGACTCCGGCGGCTGCGTGCTGTCGGCTTACGAGGCCGAACACATGATTACTCCGTTTTAGTTATTTTCATCATCAGATGGTATAATTGTAATTTTTCACGGCCCTTTTCAAATCAATACTGTCAGTAATTGTCAATATAAGAATGCATCATACCCGTGAGGAACATTTTACTTTGCTGTAGCAGTTAATGTTTCGTAATCATACACAATAATATGTATTCCATCATCGACCTTGTAAATCAGCGAAATTGGCATAAATATACTCCTGCTCTCCACGGATACCGTTTTCTTTGCATCCAGAAAATGGTATCCTTGAAACAAAGCGAAATGCGTTGCCTTAACGCTATTTGTACGTTGAAAAAACCCAAGGCAATAAAGTAAAATTTTTCTAAGATTGAAACTGTTTCCTTGAAAACAATGGAAATGCCTTAGACCAAGGTCAAAAATATACTTCTATTTGTTTTAAAGAATTTTGGGTGTGCACACGACAAAGCCGCCATCCGATTATAGGTCATGCGACACTTTTTGCCCGCCCCCCATAGAACTAAGGGCCAAATTTTTCCTTCTTTGAGACGATGTCATGGTTACGGAGGAACGCGGCTACCGACGCAAGGAGCGTAAATTAATTATATATAGCCTCCGACATTCTTTTTCCGACTCTTTGAGTCAAAGGCAGAACAGGCAATAACAAGGAGTGCAGCCAAAAATAAATGTGCCCCACTTCACCAGAAAACTAGCATAATTTGTGTACGCTCAGTCTGTAGCTGCTGTCGGAGCTGCTGGAGCAATATGGAGTGGCCCCCGCTAGAAGCACAAAGACAACACTATTAGCGCCCCGGCTCTGCCCGCCCTACCCGCCCTGCGCGACCCTCTGTTCTGTTATTATTTTGAGAGGCGTTGGGCTCAGGGCGCGTGGACCGGCTGCCATGGCGACGGACCCTTGAGGTCGCCACAGGCGACTCCTGCTGGAGGCCAACTAACGCTAACGTCGAGATGCAAGAGGGGCGCAACGCTTAAGACAACAGCCCTCTGACCGCCCGTCCGCTCTGACCTCTGTCTGTACCCCTAGGTGACCCCGCCGCCGCCGCCACCATGGTGCACAGCCCGCTCATCGACAAGCTCAAGAGCTTCTACGAGCCCTACGTCCTGTTCATCGTGTCCGTGGGATACGTCGTCGGGGAGCTCGGTCACTACCTCATCGGTGAGTCAGCGTCAAAACTGCTTTAACTTGAAGTTCAGTGGATAAAAATGAGATGCGGTAAGAGCACAAGACTTGTACCATTTGTGACGTTTAAGCTACCATTCGTGTTTGCGGCACAAATTAAATTAAAGCATTTGGCTTTGGCTTGTAGACATTCGCTGAAAAACAGCGCTCGTGCAATGGAACATAATTCAATCTAGGGACCAAAAAATGGACCGCTAGTTTTGGGGGCGCCAAGTATATTCAAACCAAGAACTCAAAGTTCCGTGTTTGTCATTTGGGAGTAAATCGCTGCCACCTTCTTCCGCGCGTCCCTTTTCTCTTGCCTGACATCCCTGGCCTAGGATTACCGTCGTGTGTATCGTCCACGTCGTCATGTTTGCACGGAGCGCTCCGCGAGACCGAAAGTGACGCATGTGTGTGTGTGACCCCCGCAGGTGTGACTACCAAGTACACGGCGCGCGACCTGGAGTACGGCGACATCGGCTGCCTCTTCAACAGCACCACGCTCGGCGTCACCGACATCCCCGCCGAGTGCTACACCGCCAACAGCTCGGACAGGTGAGGCACCCGCACAGGAGGCGTCACCCGCGACTTCACCCTCGACATCACCCGCGACGTCACCTGCGACGTCACCCGCCACCCCGCGTAGTCACCCATCCCCGCCTTGGGCACCTTTTACAGCGCCATCTCCGGGCACAGGAGAGTGCGGGCCGTGTCGCGCCCCGGAGGGTGTTGTTGACCCAGGGGGTGCGAAGCGCAGCTCAGGGCAGCGCCAGCCGAGATATCGCCCACGATAGCGTGGAGCGGCGCGGCGCGGCTCGATAGCCTGGCACGAGAGGGGCTGCGGGGGGAGAGGAGGGCGCGCGAAACGCGGGGTGGGAGCGCGGCGCGCTTCTCACTACTTTCGCCCAAGCCACTTGTAAATCACGGAGCACGGCTCCGGGGCTGGCTGCCGCCGGGGCTGCCGCGTTCCTAAGGAGAATGAGCTTTCGTTCTTTCGGGGGTGAAATAACGGGTGGGAAGGGGGTGGGGAGGTATCTGCACTCTATCCCCGACGACCCCTCTCAGCTGCCCCCTTCCCCCGTGTTCCCCAGCGTCTTATAGCGGGCCATGCGCCGCGCTTCGGTCGGGCCGGGCGGGGTTGGGCGTGGCGGGGTGTAGCGGGGCGTGGCGTGGCG